TCAGCCTCCTGAGTGCTGGGATCACAGGTGTATGCAACAGGCCTGGCTTTGAATCGAATTTTTTTTTGGGGGGGGTACTGGGGATTGAACTTGGGCAGTTGTGTTTGTGAGCAAGCACCGGAACCACTGAGCTAAATCACCAGCCCTGAATGGAATAATTTTGATACTCTCAAATTTTTATTAAGAAAGCCACAGGAAAATTAAAGATTTGTTAAGCATCTTCTAGAGGTAATGACATTTTATAACAGCTTTAAAGTCTGAAAAGTCCAATATTGATATTATTGTGGGAATATAACAAGTTGAAAGAAAATTGTCCAAATCTCAGAAATAATGATGCTTTTGTATGGTACTGGCTAAAATTTTAAACATTTGAATGCCATTAAAAACATTTTTTTTGTGGCAAATAGTAAATATTGTTAATCTGAAAATAGTATTTGTTTTCTCAAAGGATAAAATAATCTAAAGATAAATGGAACAACCACTTCTGTTTGTAATTTTGTTTGTATTTTCCTGACAAAAATTTTTAAGCAAGATCTATTTTGTTCAAAAGATTGACTTTGCATTGTATAGTCATGAAACCAAATTTGACTCTTGCTTTTTGTCTATAATGAGTACTAGACTAGATTTTGTCAATTCTGGCACTTTTAGTGAACAAAAGGTATTTTATTACTCATTTCCTTTTTGTTTTGTTTTTGGTACCAGGGATTGAACTCTGATCTTTGTGCTTGCAAGGCAGGTGGCAGAACCACTGAGCCAAATCCCTGGCCCCTCTTTTCTTTTTTGATGCTGTAGAAATGTGGTCAGGTTCTTAGAACCAAGTGGGTGCCTTTTCTTTTGTTTTCCACCTTTTTGGGGGGCTGAGGTTGAAATGTGATTTAAAAGGTCACTACTGCTGGGGATTTAGCTTAATGATAGCATTGCCTGCCTTGCAACTGCAAGGTCCCGAGTTCGATCCCTAGTACAAAAAAGAAAAAAAAAAAAAGAATGACACATGACTTATAAAGGAAGAATATTGATTTTTAATGTGATTATGTCCTATCTAGAGGGTAGAAATAGACTTTGTTTCTCTGTTCATATTTAATACTTGTTGACTTTTGCTGATTTTGTAAAGGTACATGTTTGGATTCTTTAAAAATAAAATCAGCCATGTGGGGTGGCTCATGACAGTAATCTCAGCACTCTGGAAGCCAAGGCAGGAGGATCGCCATGAGTTTGGGCCAGCCTGGGTTACATAGTGAGTTCAAGGCCAGCCTTAACTGCGTCTTGAGACCTTGTCTCAAAAAACCAAACCATACAAAAACAGCAAAATGGATCAAAGATCTAAATGTTAAAACAGAAATATTTGGTCTTCTGGAAGATAATATAAATAAAACTCTAAAAGTCAAAGGCATAGGTAAGGAATTTTTGAACAGAACCCCAATTATAAAGGAAGTAGTATCAAGAATCAACATGGACCACGGATGTAGCTCAGTGGTGCTGCACCTGCCTGGCAAGCACAAGGTCCTAAGTTTGATCCCTGGTATCAAAAACAACAACAAATATAGAATTATATTAAATTAAAAATATTTTGCATAGCAAAAGAAATAGAGTGAAGAGACAACCTGCTGAATCGGAAAAAATTTCCATGTATTCCTCAGAGAACTAATATCTAGAATACATATAGAACTCAAAAAATTAGACCCTCCAAAATAACCCAATCAAAAAAAGGGCAACTGGGTCTCAGTATTTAGCCTAGTGGTGCCATGTCTGCCTGGCAAGTACAAGGTCCTGAGTTTGATTCCCAGTACTGGGGGAAAAAAAGTGGATAACTGAAATGAATAGATACTTCTCAGAAGAAGTACTAATGGCCTATAAATTCATGAAGAAAAGTTCAAGATCACTGGCCATTAGAGAAATACAAATTAAAACAACACAGAGAATCCATCTTACCTCAGAAAGAATGTCTGTCTTCAAGAAATAATAAATGCTGACTAGACTGGCGGTGGGCTTGGGTGGGAGGAACTCTTTTACATTGCCTGGTGGAAGTGAAAACTAGTACAGCCACTATGGAAGGCAGTATAGAGAGTCCTCAAAAAACAAAACTAGAAACAGCTATTCTAGCTGTTTTTCCAAAAGAGTTAAGGGGGTCATATTACAGTGAAAACTTGAATATCCACATTTATAGCAGCACAACTCATGATAGCTAAATCTTGGAAGAGACCTATAGGTCCATCAGCAGATGAATGAATGAAGAAATGTGGTATTTACAGACAGTGGAGTACTACAGTACCATAAAGAAGGATAATCTTGATTCATTTGTAGGAAAATTAATGCACTTTGAGACTATAATATTAAGTAAATATGACACACAAGCTTAAAATCACAAAGTACTATATAAATAGCCAAATAAGAGATAGATAATAGGAAGTAGGGTACTATATCTTTCTCACAGGGGAAGGGGATCAAGAGAAGGAGGGAGGGGGCCAGGGATTTAGCTCAGTGGTTCTGCTGCCTCCCTTGCAAGCACAAGGGCCCGCGTTTGATCCCTGGCACCAGAAAAGAAAAAAAGGGAGGAGAGGGAAAGAGAATGAAAAAAGAATTAAGATATGTGTGTGTAGGTGTGTGGGTGTTTTGTTTTGTTTTTTTAACAAGTTCCTGTTGTGTAGTTTAGGTTGGCCTGGAACTTACTAGGCAGCCCCAGGCTGGCCTCGAACTTGTGGCAGTCAGTGCTCCTGCCTCAGCCTACCGAGTGCTGGGATTACAGGTGCGTGCCACCATGCCCAGCTAAGAATTAAGATGTGTTGTGTGCCTGTACCAACTCCACACAAGGAATGTAGCATGGTTCTTGTTTTTGGTACCAGGGATCAAACTGGGGACCTTTGCGCTTATGAGGTAGGCAGCAGAACCACTGAGATAAATCCCCCCCCCCTTTTTTTTTACCAGGGATTGAATTTGGGACCTTGTGCTTATGAAGCAGGCGGTGGCACCGCTGAGCTAAATCCCCGGTCCCTAACCAAGGAATGTAAACATTATATACCACAAACATGTACTAATAAAAAAAATTAAAGTTTAAAAGAAAAATCCCTACTCACTTTGAAAAAAAGTTTAAATGGCTTATGGTTATAAAGATATAATAAAAATTACTTATTTTCCATTTCCTCATCTGATTTTTTTGTTGTTGTTGTTCTGTTTTTTTTAGTTTATTGGTACTTGTATAATACAGTTGCATTTATCATTGGGATCTTGTACCCTTACATAACAAACCTTGGCTCTCATTTTTCCCCCTGCCCTCCCTTCAGCCCCTCCACCATCCCCTATTTACAAAAACTTTGTTTCCATTTTTTCCTTTTACTTATTATTTTAAACACTATACATGTTACATTGCTAAAAATTAGTGATGAAATTATGAAGCCAAATAGGTAATATGGAATGTATAGCTTATAGTTCAAAGAATTTTCTGATCATATATTTAAAGGATTTGTGGAGTGTGTTTTTGCGGTGGGTGGTACCCAGGGATTGAACTCAAGTCCTTGTGCTTTTGAAACAGGCAGTGGAACCACTGAGCTAAATCCCTGGACCTGTGGAGTGTTTTTGTTAGTTTTGTTTTCCCTGGTTTTTGGTTTTGGTTTTATGGGGGCAGTGCCAAGAATCAAACCCCAGACATTGTGCATGGTAGGCAAGTGCTTTACTCTGAGCTACACCCCCAGCCCCGATCATATATTTAGATTAAAAATATAAATAAAATGCAGAACCAAAAAGAATGGAGTCTCTTTTTAAACCCTGGCATTGGGGTGTTAGCATTCTTACTATAGATTAAGCAAGTTTTTAAAAGATTTTACTTTGTAGAAGCTCTGGCTTCACTCTAATAAACCCATATACTGCAAATAATGGACCATTTTTTTTTTACATTAATACCCATCTCCCATTCATTTTCTTCTTAGTATAGATTTGGGGAAAAATAATAAAAAATCTTCACACTAGAGATCTTCATCTTTTATCATTGAGTCATTCTGAAATTTTTTTAGAAGGATTTGTTTGTAGGAATTTCAAATATGGAATCTGGTTTTCAACACTGTCATTTAGTTAGAATTAGAATTTACCTTCATTTGATACCTTTCTCTTTACAACTCAATCCATCCTGCCTTTATGTATCACATTTCTGTTTTTTTGGCTTTAAAACAAAATGATTTTCTAATTTCTAACATGTATCTTACAATATATTTTTCTTTATTCAGTATTTTTGCTGCAGAAATAGCCAAATGGTAAAAACGCCAAATTTGCAAGGACCAGCATAGCCAGTTCATTACCATAGATTGTCTGCATGCACTCCATTCCTGTTACTATGGAAACACATTCAGACTGCATTTATCATAAACCTTGAGAAATGCTCTTTACAACAGTTCACATAAAGAAACATCTGGATTCCTTGTTTGTCCTGGAGAGGGAGACTATTGTCTCCCTCTGTTTTGTGGGGAGCATGTGATAATCCGTTGTTTTCTCTAGCTGTAAAAGTTTTAATGCGAATTTATTAAGTACACAGTTTTTAAGATAACTGATTATATTTACTGAAATAGCTTTGGAAAATAAGGATTTGTATTCATGCCAATTTAATTTGACTGTGGAAACTTCACATACATATGTATATACATATTTTTAAGACAAGGTCTCACTATACAGCCCACACTGGTCTTGAACTCATGGCATTCCTCCTGCCTCAGCTCCCTTAGTGCTGAGATTACAGGCATCTGTTACCATTCCCAGTCTTGTAATAATAGGATTTTAAAGTGTGTGTGTGTGTGTGTGTGTTGTAATCCAGGGCCCTGTGCATAGCAGGCAAGTTTACTACTATAGAGCCAGTGAACCCATCTTGTTTTATTTTGAGAAGTGTCACTAAATTCCCTAGATTGGCCTGGAACTCGCGGTCCTCCTACCTCAGCCTCTGAAGTAATGAGGATTACAGGTGTGCATTACAGTGCCTAGCTGTACAATACCTTTTAAAATATATTTTGATCTTTTGTTAGGTTAATAAGCTCCCTGGAGTTGATTTGACTTCATGCCATTCTCTGGTGACTTTTAACCTTCCAGGGAAGTTTGTTCCAGAGCCGAGTCACAGAGGTGGCTAGGTAAGCTTTGTCAGTCAAATGTTACCTGAGGAGATTGCAACTGCTTTTCTCTTTCAGTCTCCATGGACAGACCCTCAACAGCTCTTCAGAGCCTTTCACTTATATGTGAAAACTCTTAAATTTACACAGTTCAATTTAAAAGATTGAATTCTGTCCTCTGAGCCTTCCACTTGGATTCTAAGAGCATATGAAGTAATGCGGATAAACTTAACTTCCTACTGTTGAGAACTTACATAAATGGATTATTTCAGGGTTAATTTCAAGAGGCATACATAAGGCATTTCAAAAAAAGAGGAAAGTTACACAGACTCTCTTAGAACTTATGTGATTACTTGACTACTGCTTAGAAGTAATGTTTTGGGCCAGGGATGTGGCTCAGTGGTGCTGCACCTGCCTGGCAAGTGCAAGGTCCTGAGTTCGATCCCTGGTACCACAAAAAAAAAAAAAAAAA